AGTTCTAAATTTTAGCGGGATCAAAATATGCTTGATCAAAATTAAATTTTATCACATTTATGTATAATAATATCATTTTTGTACGTTTATAAATACTAGAATCTACGTCTAATTATTAAAATCGATTAGAAAATATATCCCACATTTGGCGTGGATTAAACTCTAGTAAAATATGGTATTGGTGGAAAAAAATTGTAGGAATTCTGATATTTTTGGATAATTTCCCAATCATATTTGTAAACTGTAACAATATACATTTTTNTTTTACCAAAAAAGAGGAGACTTTAATGTATNTATATTAATAATAATAATATAGATGGAATCCAATTCGAGGCAAATCCCTAGATAATTTTGAGAGGCGAATTGGAATTGTCGATGACGGCGACGATCGGGGATGTTCCAAAGGAAGTGGAAGCGGAGGAGATACTCAGCCGCGTTCCGGCCAGAGATCTGAAACGATTACGATCTACTTGCCAAAGTTGGAACCTTTTATTCAAGAATCGGAGATTCGCAACGAATCATTGGGATAAAGCTGCAAAGGAGCATCTGGTTCTCATGTTGACCAAGGAATCCAGGATATGTCCCGTGAGCGTCAATCTCCATGGAACTGTTCCTTCTCTAGAGGTAAGAAGCGAGCTTAGCCTAATCGACCCTCGTTCTAATGCTCAATTCGATTTTTGTCGAGTCTTTCACTGCGACGGCTTATTGTTATGCAACTCCAATGACCTATCTATGCTTGTGGTTTGGAACCCCTGTACTGGTGAAACCAGGTGGATCAAAGCCGGTCGCATTAGATCCGCCAGTTATCTCCTTGGATACTCCTCCTCCTCCTCGAGTAAGAGCTACAAAGTATTGAGCTTTTGTGCGTTGAACAAATGTTCGCAAATCTACGAGTTTAGCTCTGATTCATGGAGGACTCTTGATCATGATATCACCCCTCAAGGCTGGCACTTTGGTTGCGCTGAATCTGATCACAAGGTGTCTTTGAATGGGAATATTTATGGGTTTGCTATAGATGAAACAGAAACGCATCCAGGGATCTACTTGCTCAGATTTGATTTTTCATCAGAGAGATCATCTCTTCTTGTGGGTCTTCCTTATCAGACTCGTATATTTGAAATTGTGAGTCTTTCCGTTGTCAGAGAAGAGAAGCTTTCCGTGTTATTACAGCCCCATTGTACATCCAAGACTGAGATATGGGTGACAAATAAGATTGATGACACCACACCTGTGTCATGGAACAAGGTCTTAGCATTGGATTTGAGCTCTGATCTTCAGATTTCGAGTTTTGGGACTTTTTTGCTAGACGAGGAGAAGAAAGTCGCCATGTGTTGTGAGAGGTGGAATGACATGGGAGACCCGACCATGGACATGGACAAGATATACTGTGTTGGGGAGGATTCTAAAGTCACACAAGTGTACTTGAGGGTAGATACAATGGATTCAGATGGGCCAGCTATTCTCAATTATGTCCCAAGTTTGGTTCAAATCGAGCCAGTTGGAGCCAACAAAAGAAGAAGAGATGACTGAATAAGCTCCGTAATCTCCTCTCTTTGTGTGTGTTTTCATTAATTTATATTGGTCAGTCTTCTTTGAATAATCAGTTTTTGATCGAGTGAGCGGGAGGCAAAGGACTAAACAAGGTCATCTTCTTTGAATAATCCTTTGATCGTGCGAGCTAGAGGCAAAAGGAAAAGAGCTTGCTTTGACTAAACAAGCTCTACATGTTGTAATTTCTCTTTCTTTCTTGGTTTTTTTTTTTTTNTNTTTTCTAGTGTATCTTGGTCATCTTCTTTGAATAATCCTTTGAGCTGGAGGCAAAAGGAAAAGAGCTTTGACTAAACAAGCTCTACATGTTGTAATCTTTATTTTTTTGGTGTTTTTCTTAATTTATCTTGGTCATCTTCTTTGAAATTATTTTTCCATTATGATGTGGTATTATCAGATTCAAATGTTTTTTTTGTTTTCGTGTGGAAAAACCCGTTATGCTACTTATTATGTTTACTAAATGCAAGCATAAAAATTATTGTATACACTGATATTATGTAGTTTTAATGATTTTTTGAACTGATGTTTTAAGTACCATTCACATTCACTGATAAAATTCAGTACCTTTCACATTTTAAAAAACAACTAGTGAATTTGTTTTAAAATTCTGAAAACAAATTCTGATGGATAGTAATACTGAAAAAACGTTTTAAAATACAAATATTTTTTATTTGTTTTATTGCTTTTGTACGAAATTTTGTAAAACTACTTATTATCCATCTCTGTTAATAAATCACTATGTTACAAAATATATAATTTATAGTCTGCAAATTAAGAAAACATACATACAAACTTGGTAGATTATTATTAATATTTCTGAGGGTTGGGGACGTTTGGGTGGGGAAGTAGATTAACAATTAGAATGTTTCCTTTCAAAATCCGTGTTAGATATAAAAACTACCAAGATACTTGGTTTATGAGAGGGTAATAATCTCACGAAGGTTAATTATTAATGCTTCTTGTCTTGTTAATGCTTTTTCCGTTTGTTGTTGGGTGTATTAGACTACTCTTAATTAAGAATAAATTAGGAAGGGG